TCCATAGTGCGATCAGGCAGAGTCGATGAGCTTCCGGCCCCTTCAGCGAAACGTCGTCCCCTTGTGGGACCAAGGAAGCGCGCCTTCTCTGTCACAGTGCCTGCCCTCTGAAGCGGCCTTCCCTGGAGATTCGTACAGCTCCCACCTTCAGATGTTCCGTAAGTCTCTGAAGACGTGGCTCTGGTCCGGGCCTGGGTGGGGGGCTGGTGGTGACTTTTTTCCTTCGTTATTCATGTGGTTCTGCCTGGTGTTCACATTTTTCTTTTTACACTATGTATTCTTTTAAAATGGTATGGCTCAAAATCTAATAAATCAGTAAATATGAAAGCTGCCTTCCAGTACTTGAAAAGACGCCAGATTCAGTGGGAGACAGATGGCCCTGCAGGTAGCCATGGCCCGTGCCATGAAGAGCTTTATGGATGATAACTACACCTTGAAGTGCTTCCTCATCCAGGAACAGGCACAACTGGCATTCACTGGATTTGTGCAAAGACCCTCCTGGTCATGGCTGCCACCTGCTCTTCAAACAGGAGCCAAAAGTTCAAGAGGATCCCCAGACTGAGTACCAGTTCTCTCTAGAGGAGTGCAACCTAGAACCTAGATGGAAAGTCCTTGGGAGGACCATCATCCACAGCCACTCAGTTTTGCTAGGGTTGAGCCAAAGCCTGTTCTTCCCCATCTAGACCTCCAATACTGGGAAAAAAGGGCATTACTTGGTTGGACAGGGGAAGAGATGTCTGAGTATGATCAGCATATTGATGACACTTCATCTCATGCCAAGTGATGACCTCATCTGTCAGCTTCATGTAGTTGTTAAATAGAAGCAGGGGGAGCAGTAGAGTCCTACTGAGGCCCCCAAATCCATGCCTCTCTCATGTAAGAATACTCATCAGGGCTGCGAGCCTCCACTTGGACACACCCAGCAAGGAGGAGCCCAGACTTCTCTGGATAATTGGTTCCTCTGTTCAACGGCTGTGACTGTGAGGAAGGGTTTTCCTATTCCTCTCCTGAGATCTGCTTCAAGACTGCTATTCCAGGTCCTACCTTCTGGGTCAAGGAAACAAGAGGATTTCTGCCTCACAAGGATGCTTCTCAGTTTCCTGGCAACAAGGAAGTTGCAGGTAGAATGTGTGTGTTGGAAGCTGGAAGGATCCACAGAGCCATCCCTAACAGGTGGGCAATCAACCCCAATGGGCAAAATTCCACCATTTATAGAATCATAGAATCCTAGGGTTCTAAGGCGCCTCAGAGGTCTTCTAGACTAACCCCCTGCCCAGTGCAGGAATCCTCAGACCATTCTGGACAAATGGCTGTCTAACCTTTTCTTGAAAACCTCCAGTGATGGAGCACCCACAACTTCCAGAGGGAGGCTTTTCCATTGCTTCATAGCTCTCACGGTCAGGAAATTCCTCCTTAGTGCAAATTTGCATCTCTCCCTGTAAAGCTTCCACCCACTGGTTCTTGTCTTACCCTCAGGTGGTAGGGAGAATAAAACCACACCCTCTTCACTGTGACATCCCTTCATGTATTGGAAGGCTGCTATCATGCCTCCCCTTAGCCTTATCTTCTTTAAGCTAAACATACCATTCTTTATGGTTCCTTTAACCATTCTTCATAGGTTTTAATATCAATGCCCCACACCATCTTCATCACTCTTCTCTGCACTCTTTCCAGTTCTGCAGCATCCTTTTCGTTTTGTGGCGACCAGAACTGGACGGGGGTGGTCTGACCAGTGCAGCACAGAGTGGTGCTATCACTTCCTGTGATCTCGACACTCTACTTCCATCAATGTAGCCCAAAGCTGCGTTGGCTTTCTTGGCAGCGGCAGCACATTGCTGACTCATCCTTAATCTGTGGTTTACCAAACCCCCCAGATCTTTCTTGCAAATACTACTGCTAAGTGGGTTGCCACCTATGATGTACCTGTGCATCCTGTTGAAAGTGCACAACTTTACATTTCTCAATAGCGAACAACCTTTTGTTGGATAGGGGCCAATGTTCAAGTTTATCAAGATCCTTTTGAATTCTGAGTCTGTCTTCGGGGGCATTAGCAGTCTCCCCCAGCTCACAAATTTTATGAGCTATTCCCTCATATAAGTCATTGAGGAAGATGTTGAAATGGACTGGGCCCAGGCCAGAACTCTGGGGAACCCTCTGCAGACCTCCCTGCATGTGGACATACACCCATGAGGACCAGGTGTTGGCCACAGTTGTTTAGCCAACTGTGAATCCATCTGGTAGTGGGAACATCCAGCCCACATGTTTCCAGTTTATCAAAAGGAGACTATGGTCTACTTTATCAAATGCCTTACTAAGTCTATGTACAGTATACTACGTCCACAGCATTCCCTTGGTCCACTAATTAGTCACCTCATCAAAGAAAGCAGTAAGATTTGTTTGGTTATCTTTCTAAATAGACTCTTCTGCTTCTTTCCATCAGGAAATTCCTCCTAATAATCAGCCTGAAACTACTTTTTTTTAACATTTCAAGATCACTTTAATGTGAAGACTACCTTCTTGAATGGAGAAATTAAGGAAGGCATTGGAAGAACCTGGAAGAGAAGGTTTTGTACGCAACTTGAGAAGGTTTATGGTCTGAAACAGGCAGCAGGAGCTTGGAAATGAAAAGCAAATGCATTTTAAGGAGGGTTTCCTGAAAAGAATCACAGCGGATCTTTAACCCAGTTTACACGGATGCTTTGATTGTATGCTGTCAAGAGAAAGAAAAGAGGAGATTGTGACTCATCAAAGCACCGAACCCCACTTGAACAACCTAGGAAGGCATCTTCAGGCAACAGAAAGAGGAAGGGTGGAAGCTAACCTCTCAAACAGAAACCAAGATTAAAAGGGGTTCTGGAATGTCTAGAATTAAGAGAAGCC